GGCTAAAGTTTTAATTTTTAATATAAATTTATCTGTCAATGTAATTTATTAAGATAGATTTACTCTTTAGATTATCATCGGTTATCTTGATCTAAGAAGCATGCAGAGGATGGTTAATTATAATTTATATGTATGATTTATTATATTTTATGTTGGACACGTCAGAGCTCATCCAACGAATTTTTTAAAAGTATATATTAATGTTCAACTCTTCCAATAACGTGAAAGAATGGCAAGGAAAAATAAAGGCATAATATATAAACATGACCCTTAATTTGTCGTCAGTTGGCAACTATGATCTTTAACTTTGGGTGTGCACAAGTACGCACTTAAATTTGTATAAAATTTAATAAATGGATACAATCGTCCTACATGGCACCCAACATAACAATTTTGTAACCTATATAGCATCTTATGTGCCTTATGCCATATAAGACACGTGTGTCTACTTATTCAATTTTATACAAGTTTAAGTACCTACTTGTGCACACTCAAAGTTGGAGGGCATAGTTATCCGTCGAAGTCAAATTAATGATCGTATTTATGTATTATGTCAAAAATAAAAGAACTAAAAGAACCATGGTTAGTAATGGATATCATATTTGATTTCTATATAGTCAAAAGGGAAAAAATGTGTTTTATTTTAAAAAGTTAATTATACATTTTCATCATTTTACGATATAGCTAAAATAAAACCTCTACTACTTTCAATATTATTATTTTTACTATTTAAATATTATTTGTAAAGTAAGTCTTAGTTTCTTTCTTTCCTTTTTGTGGGGGTGGGATGGGGTTATGGGTGTTCATTATTTGTTTTTGGCCTCATTAATTCGGATTCATGTAGAAGAGTTTCATTGTTAGAAAATAATTCACTCTTTGTTAAAAATAATTTCATTTTTCAGAATTTGAACGCTAACATTTGGTCAAGTCTTTATTTAATTATAAATTTTCAATAGTTTTTTGAAAATCAGATTTGTGTGAAGTTTAGATTGAAGTTAAAATATTTGACCAAAGTTTTTCAAAATATATTTCACCTTTTAAAATTAAAAAAAAAAAACTGAAACATGTTTATATTCCTAAGTTTTAAAAATTATAGTACTCAATCCATCAATCATACCAAACAAACATACTTCTTCTGTTCACCTCACAAAAATAGATTTTCACTTTTACTTATCAATTTTAACATATAAAGAAAAGAAAAATAATGTTTAACCATTAGAATTAGTTATTTATTCCCAAATCATTTTTTAAGGTTTAATATTAAACATCAATTAATAAGGGCAATGTGGCAAAATTATCATGTCAATTAATTGGTGTGCCAAGTGCAAACATGACAAGTAAAAATGAACGAATGAAGTACTTACTAATTCCAAATTGTGTAGAACCTTCATTGATGATATCATTATTATTATTATCACAAGTCATAATCTTATATAATAGATAAGTTTGACATAAAATTATCATTTTTATAATGAAATAGATAATACATTATCTTAAAATCATAACACAATATTTTAATAAAAATTGTTAATAACACAATTACTAGCTACTACAGTTTGTCAGATTATAATTAGCTAGGAAGATTCATAGTGTAGTGTGAAATTGTAAAAAAAAAAAAAAAGTCATATCAATTTGATGAAAAAATACATATTAAAATACTAGTCAAAGTTCGTATCGTTTTACTCTCAAAGAGAAAATTATGACAATTAAAAAAAAGAGAGATTATTCTTTAATTCTTCCTTCATTCTACTTTGGAAATTGCATGCTCCTTAAGAAATAATGATTGATATATGTATTTATCATAATATATGTATTAATTAATGTTTAATACGAGTAATAAGTTTTAAAATTTAATGATTTGAGAAATAAGTAATCAATACATTAAATAAAACATGATTTTTTTTGCCTTTACTGTTAAAAATTGCAGTAATAAAAATATATTTTTCAAATAAATAGAGAAATAGAAATAAACAGACAGAATATAATCTTCCTATGAAATATAAAAAATTTGAAATAAGTTTCATTACTTAAAAAGAAATCAACGATTTTATCTTAGCCCAAAATTAGGCTCGAAAGAGATTTTGATATTTGAAATTGATTTTCAAAATCTCTCGATGCCTAGATAAATTTTAAAGAAAAGTATTGAAAACATTTTAAAACTAGACATAAATTATTAGTTTCATCTTTAAATTATTAACAGTCTTAAAAATACTCATTTACTTGACTAATTGAACTTAAATATACATCCCTTTTTGTAGTAGGAGTGAAATACACTCCTAAAGTCTTGTCAAGTTTAGAGATGTTTTCAACATTTTTCTTGACTTTTTATTAAGAACCGTATGATATTCAAGAGTTTGAGACCACTTGCTATGTCATGTGTCAAATGGAAGACCGGGATGTATCTAAGTTTAATTAGTCAAGTAGAGGCCTATTTTTAAGGTTCTTTATAATTTGAGAATGAAACTAATAATTTATGTCAAGTTTAAAAATGTTTTCAACCACTTGCTAAGTTGATTCTTTTCTTGTAAAATAATAATCCAAAAGGGACTTTTAAAATGTATGATGAGGTAAGTAAATAAGAGGAAAGACATAATTGACCCCTAAAATTGTCTCGAATTTTCAAACACACACCTTATCTATGCGGGTGTTCTATTACCCTCCTAAACAATTTTGAAGTAATATTATTACATCATTTTTCGATCAATCTTAAATTTTAAAAAGCAAATGTTATCACATATCAATTATTATGTGACATGTGTTAATTTAATTTAAAAAATACTTATTTTTCATTTTAAGTTTTTCTTTATCTTTTTTTCCTCTCTCTTACTTTTTATCTTATTTTATTTTTATTACTTTTATTTTGATTACATCTTAAATTTCACTCCATCTTCCATCTCACCCACCCACCCTCACTTTCAAGGACCTCCTCCTTTCATTTTCTTTCTTTCTTTCTTCTTCTTACCTCACTCTCATCCTTTTCCGCTCATGTTAAGTTGTGTCCCTCCCCATTTTTAAATTTTTTTTCTTCTTCAATCAAATTTCATCCTTTCAATGACTTTATTTTTTTTTAAAAATCATATTATTTTCTAAACTTTGTTGAGTTACTGATACTTCTAAGAAAACTCAAAATTTTGAAGGTATCATCGATTAAATAAATAAATGCAAAGTAAGGAAGAAAATCTCAAATGCTACTAGATTTTGAAATAAACAAAGGAAGGGAAATTATATGAGTCAAATTTTCTTATTCAAACTAATTCAATTAGTAATTAAAATATTTAAAATAGCCATGTGATTGATTTGGATTGACTTTTAATTTTTGACTTCTTTGAACATTTTAACTTAAAATTAAGTGCTTACAGATACTTTTACTTTTTTAACTTAGGCAAATAATTTAAAAGTACTTAAATTTGTTTGCAGTCTGGGGGGGACTTGATGGCAGTCTTGCCAAAAATAAATAAATAGATGGAACTTGTACCTTTCTTTCTTTGTTTTCTTTCTTCTTTTATTCAATAAATTTACAAGTTTTCTTATTTTATTTTATTTATACATCAATGGGTACATGTTCCCAATTTTTATAACATCGAAAAGAGCTACTCCCTCCGTCCCATTTTATGTGACAATATTTGATTGGGCACGGAGTTTAAGAAATAAATGAAGACTTTGAAATGTTTACCAAAATTGTCCTTTAAAAAGTAGACTCACTTTTCTCTCTCCTCATAAATGTATTGGAGTATTATTTTAAGATTAAGTGGGACCAATAAGGATAAAAGAGAAATTATACCTTTAAATACTTAGCATATAAGAAAATGTGACATTCTTTTTGGGACTGACAAAAAGGAAATGGTGCCACATAAAATGGGACGGAGGGAGTAATATCTAAAATTTAACATTGTTAAGAGTAAATTTGAATTCATCTAGATTGAAAAAAAATTCAACTCATTTAAAAAAGATAGAACGGCTATAATGTATAAATATTACATACATACATATATATATATATATATTTCTAATATATAATTATACAGGATATACTTGCGATCATTTTTAATGAAGTATATTTTAAAAAAATCAGAATTATTTTTCTCATTAATGCGATTTTTAACTAAATCAAAAATTGAGAAGTAGCAAAAGAATAATATTCACAATTGAGCCTCTCATTAATTACTACTCCCTCTGTTTCAAAAAGAAGGATCTCCTTTCATTTTTAGTCTGTTTCAAAAAGAATAGTTTCTTTCTTTTTTTTTGGTAACATTTTAATTTCAGTTTTTCACGTGGCATGTTTAAGGCTACAAGATTAAAGGGCAATGTAGTATATTTGATATAACTTTGATTTAAGACCACAAGATTCAAAAGTCTTCTTTATTTTTTAAAACGTTGTGTCAAGTCAAACTAGATCACTCTTTCTGAAACGGAGGGAGTAATAACTTTCATAACAGATGTGTAATGACCTATAATATTTTACTGTCCACTTTTATAGTAATATTTTTTTTAAAATAAATTTTCACTGCAAACATGTCAAGATCTTCGTAATTTACCCTTAATATTAATGACTCCCTCACTTCAATTTATATTGACATTTTCGGATTTCAAGATTCAAATAAATTTATCTTTAATCGTAAATTTTTCAAATATTTTTTAATTATTGTGATTTATAATACTTTTTTCTTAGTTTACAAATATATAAATTTCATTGCAAAAAAATTGAAAATTACATACGCAAATTTCCAATCAAACTTAAATTGTTTGACTCAAATGTCTCATAAATTGAGACAGAGGGATCTCTCCGTTCACTTTATTTGTCACAATTTGACAAGTGAACGGAGGGAGTATTATTTTCTTAATAATAATAGGTATATTAAATATAAATATGACAAGTAAAAAGGGGATTATTTATTTTGGACCACATAAATTAAAAGTAGGGTAGTTTTCCACAGCCCCATAACATACATGCTTGGGGGTAAATTTGAAGATGCAAAATTCCAAAGACAAACTGAAACAAGTAAATGAAAATTACTGCCTCCACATTTTATTAGTTAAGCCCAAAACTGCACGCTAAAACCAACTCATAGAAAAATGCCAAATCCAAAAAGTTGCAGAAGCTATAAATTATTTAAACGATCAATCACGTCATAGGACTAACAATTTAACAACCATACGCAATTTGTCACATTCATATTCTTGTGTTTGTCCACACACTACTAGTAAAAACAAGCACAGATTTGTTTGAACCTCATCCAGGCTGAGTTAACTCATCTCTACATTCTGCTCACCTTCTTGCTGCTATTGCTTTTCCCCATACTTTTAGCAATGTCTCTAAGCACGAACTTCTGAATTTTCCCTGTTGATGTCTTTGGAAGCTCTTGTTTAATTATGACAGTCTTTGGTACCATATAATGTGGCAATTTGGCTCTACAAAACTCAATAATGTCTTTTTCACTCGCCTTGTGTTTTCCATTCAGACTAACAAATGCACACGGTGTTTCGCCCCAGAATTCATCTGGCCGTGCCACTACTGCTGCTTCGTTAATCGCTGGATGGGTATACAACACTGATTCCACTTCTACACTGCTCAAATTCTCTCCACCACTTATGATCACGTCCTTTGATCTGTCTTTAATTTCTAAGTATCCATCAGGATGCATAACTGCCACATCCCCTGTGTAAAACCAACCATCATCTTTCATGCATTTCGACGTTCCTTCCGGGTCTTTAAAGTAACCCAACATGACACAGGCACCCTTTAGAACAATTTCTCCTAATGTTGATCCGTCCCGTTTAACACTGACTCCTGATTCTGGATCCACCACGTCCACTTCCGCCATCCCTAATGTCCTAACCCCTTGTCTTGATTTCAGCCTTGCTCTTTCATTTGCTGGAAATTTATTCCAGTGATTTTTCCATGTACAAGAAATAACTAATCCACCAGTTTCTGTAAGTCCATAACCATGATGGACTACAAATCCAAGGGACTCTGTTCGAAACAGGACAGCAGCAGGGGGTGGGGATCCTGCTGTCATTATATAAACAGGGTGTTTTAATGGCTTACTGTCAGGGGAATTCGACAACATGTTGAGTACCACTGGAGCAGCGCAGATATGAGTAACACCATGTTTGTTGATCGAGTCATAAATGATTCCGGCATCGAATTTTCTCAAACAGATATTCGTTCCACCAACAGCAGCCATTCCCCATGGATAACTCCATCCGTTTGCATGAAACATAGGTAGCGTCCATAAATAAACCGGCTGTTTCGGAACGGACCATTCAATCAACGAATCCAACGAAACAACGAAAATACCCCTATGGCTATGAACCACACCTTTCGGAGCAGATGTAGTTCCAGAAGTGTAATTCATAGCAATCGGATCAAATTCACTTTTCGGGCGAATCCAATTGAAACCCGAATCCCCTCTTTCAACCAATTCCTCATAAGTAGCGATAAATTCATCAGTTTTTGGAATTGGGAATTCGTCGTCCTCGATAAGAACGAGAACCGGACGGTGGAATTCAGGCGGAAATAAGGACAGAGCTTCGAGAATTAGGGATTTGGATTGACAATCAACGAAGAGGAGTTTAGATTCGCTGTGACGGAGGAGTACAGAGATAGTACGTGCATCAAGACGGAGATTAATGGTGTTGAGTACAGCACCAGCCATGGGAACAGCAAAATGAAGCTCATACATGGCAGGGATATTAGGGGCAACAACGGAGACAACATGATTTCTTTGAATACCAAAAGATGCAATGGATGAAGCAACTTTTAGGCAACGAGAATGGGTTTGGGACCAATTGTGAGTTGTGTTGTTGTAGACGATGGAAGGGCAATCGGCATAGATAGTAGCAGCTCTTTCCAAGAAGGTAATAGGAGTAAGAGGACTTGAATTTGGTGGCGTTGGCTTTAGCTCATCCATATTTTTCTGCTCTGTTTAAGGTCTCTGTTAATGCTATTATATAGATCCAATAAACCAAAAAAAAGTACTCCTACTAATTTTTAATTTTTTATTGGATAGGATTTTCATTCTATATATTTATGTGATTATCTTTAAATGATAAGATTTAAAGATATTTTAGACACAAATTAAGGAATAATATTTAACAAGTTTCTATAATTAATCCCTAAAATCGTGCGTTGCTTCCTCTTTCGGCCGTCTCTAGACTCTATCTATATGAAGATTTGACTAAATAAGATTGTGTTTAATGTATGGATTAGATTAAATTTATGACCATAAATTGTGTGACATCAAATAATCAAATATTTTTGTAAATTACAGTTGTAAAGAAAACGTATCCCATTTATTGTCATTAAATAATAATAAAAAAGTACTCCACTTGATTATTTCAATTCTCACAATTTAGAAGCATGTTCCTCACGTTTTCTTATTATTACTCCCTCCGTTCCATATTAGTTGATCATTTTTCATTTTACATGGTACTTAATAGTAAATAATAAATAGAAAGATGATTTTACTAACTCATTCCTTTGTTGAGATTAATTAGGCCCTAACTAATTATATGTAATTGACGTATGTAGATTAGTTAAAGTGATGGTTGTAGAAAGTTTGTTACAATTAGTTAGATGATTAGCTGTCACATGGTGTAGATATTTTCCATCTTTTCATACACGTGTATAATAAAGGAAGAAGGAGGAATGGAAGTTCAGTTTTTCTTTTCCCAAATTGTGATCTCGTCCATCTTCTTCATGCTTCTGTATCATCCTCAATTGTTAGCATAAGCTCCATTAATGGAGTTCTCAACTGCTCAATTACAACTTTGACATGGTATCAGAGCAATAGGTGCTCTTCTCTTCTTCAAATTCCGCTGCATTTGTTCTTCCTCTGTTTAATTCACATTCCAATTCTCATCTGGAATCCTCGTTGCAATCTGCTCTCGATTGCAATTCTCATTTCAGTTTTGACTTTGATTGCAATTTTCCTGTCAAGTTTCCTTCAAAATCATGGCTCCAACCAATGAAACAAATCAAAATCCCACGAATCCGAATCCCACACCACCAACCATCGATTTCAGTGATCCTTTGTACATGCATCCATCGGAGAATGCCGGATCTTCAATTACTCCAGTTCCTTTTGATGGAACAGGATACATATCCTGGAGGCATGGTGTCCTTCGAGCCCTTTCTGTGAAAAATAAGATCGGCTTCATCAATGGAAAAGCTCAGAAACCAGATTCAAGTTCACCTACATTTGCACAATGGGAACGTTGCGATGACATGGTCACGTTGTGGATTCTCAATTCACTGTCAAAGGATTTAGCTGACAGCTTGCAATACGTCAACAACGCGAAGGAATTATGGGACGAGTTAGCCAATCGTTACGATCAAACCAATGGTGCGAAACTGTTTCAACTCCACCAGAAGATCAATGACCTCGCACAGGGAAATCTGGATATCACAGGGTATTACACCAGACTTCGTCGACTTTGGGAGGAGCTCTCTACTTTGGACGCCAACACTCAGTGTACATGTCTGTGCAATTGTTGAGGTAAAATAAAAATGCATAAGGCAGAACAGGATCGCAGACTGATTCAATTCTTAATGGGACTAAACGAGGTGTACACTGTGATGCGAGGTAGTATCCTAATGATGAACCCGTTACCGACCATGCCACAAGCTTTTTCCATTCTAGTTCAAGAGGAGAAACAACGAGAGGTCAAGCCCTCTACTCGCATGTCTTTGGCCTCTACTTCTCTCAACGCTTCCACATCTCTTGGTGCTGTTTCTGGGAGTAATAGTTTCAAAACAAACTATTCCCAAAATAAGAACACAAATGGAAACAATGCTTATAGAGGTCCTACAAACCAATTTCAGAACTCTAACAGGAACAACATCCATCCTTTTCCAGATATCAACAGAGCTAACTTGTTCTGCGACTATTGTAAGAAGACTGGACACACAGAAGCTAAGTGCTACAAACTACATGAATTTCCCCCAAATTTCAAGTTTACTAAGAGTAGGCACTCCGGATCAGCAGCTAATGTTCACTCTACCTGTGACGACCCTAGCCAGGGAGCTCAAGGTTTGACTCAAGTTCAATATGATCATTTGGTAAAATTGCTCGAAAATACTCAGATACATGGACCAGGTGGGAGCACAAAGGAGTCTGCGGACAACATCATGAGTAGAGCTGTGAACTTTGCAGGTATCATGGCTTGTCACTCGTCTATTTCTGAAATTGGTGATCTCTCATGTAATTGTTCCAAGCTTAATGTTGAATCCTGGATTATAGACTTTGGAGCCTCACACCATATGACTTTTAATAAAACATTACTCACCAATATCAGGCCTTTACTTTACCCCTTCCTAATCACATTACCTAATGGCTATAGAGTTAGAGTGACAGAAATTGGGGATGCACATTTAAATTCAACACTGATTTTATACAAAGTATTGTTTATACCTACTTTCAAGTTCAATCTTGTCTCAGTACATTGCTTAGCTTCTCATCTAAAAAACACAGTCAGTTTCAATGATATTTCATGTTTTCTGCAGGGCCCTTCACTAAAGAGCCCTCTAGAGATTGGTAGAGTAAGGAATGGTCTTTACTTCCTGTGCTCAAAATGCCACAATGCTGCTATTTCAACTTGTTCTTTTGGTTCTTGTGTTTCATCTGATTGTCCTCCTTTGCATAATGCCAATAAACAAGCATTACATTTTCCTACCCATTCAAGTAATAAAAATGCTTGTTGTAATACAAAATCGACTGTCATTTCTGGCAATACTTCTGCATCATCAAAATGTTTTTCTCTTTGTACATCTCATGAAGACAGTGTAGATTACTTGTGGCACACCAAGCTAGGACATGTTCCTTTTGTCAAAATGAAAGGTATCCATACCATACCTATTAAATTTTCGCCAAAACAACCTTTTTTGTGCACCATTTGTCCCATGGCTAGACATGCAAGGTTACCTTTTCCATCTAATACTACCACCCTTTCCACCAAGATTTTTTATCTCCTCCATATAGATTTATGGGGGCCATACAATATACCAACTCATGATAATTACAAATATTTCATCACAATAGTTGATGATTATAGCAGGTCAACTTGGACTCAACTGATCAGTTGCAAAACCAATACTCTACAATCCATAAAGAATTTTACATCTCTAGTAGAAAATCAGTTCAACACAACCATTAAGGCCATTAGAACTGACAATGGTCTTGAGTTTGTCAATAAAGAAACGACTGTGTTCTTGCAAGAAAAAGGCATCATACACCAAAGAACTTGTCCATATACACCACAACAAAATGACGTGGTGGAAAGAAAACACAAATACCTACTTGAAGTTGCAAGAAGTTTGTTGTATCAATCAAAAATTCCCATGAGATATTGGGGGGAATGCATATTAACTGCAACCTATATTGTCAATAGACTCCCTTCTACAGTCATCCAAAACAAAACTCCTTTTGAAGTCTTATACCAAAAACAACCCACATACTCACATCTAAGATCTTTTGGTTGTCTTTGCTTCCCTAGCACCCTTAAAACTCACAGAGACAAGTTTGAACCACAATCCACTCCACACGTTTTCATTGGATACCCTTTCAACACAAAAGGTTACAAAGTACTAGATTTGACCACCAAGAAAATACACATTTCAAGAGATGTATTATTTCATGAGAATGTTTTTCCTTTTGTTCTTCCTTTTCCTGATTCTACTTTTAGTTCTGTACTGAGACATCTTAATTATAATACTGATTTGTTTCATCCCACAAACAATATTTTGAATAAAATCTCATGATTTAAATTAAGACAACCCCACTACTGTCACAAATAACACTATTGAGACCAACCTGCCACATACCACACCTATAAATATCACTGGAAACTTATTTGATGAGACCACTCCTATATCAAACTCTCCAAAAATAATTGCTGCATCATCTCATCCAGAGATACCTTGTTCACCTCAGATTACCATTACTACCCCTTCCAGCTCACATCCTCTACCTGCACTTAGGAGAACAAGTAGAATCCATACTGTACCAAACTATCTCAATGAGTATAACTACATACTCCCTAAATTACAGCATCAACCCTCACCATACCATCCTCCTAATATCACCACTCAACAACATATTTCGCTCACTAGTTTTGATTCAGAGAGTCAGCAATTAGTTAGGAACATCACTCATGATAGTGAGCCAAACTCATATGAAGAGGCAATCATGAGCCCTGCTTGGCAATCAACAATGACACTTGAATTTGAAGCTTTACATGCTAACAATACTTGGAATCTAGTTCAATTACCTGCAGGAAAAAGGGCAATTGGGTGCAAGTGGGTTTACAAAATCAAACATAAGGTTGATGGGACAATAGAGAGATTCAAGGCTAGACTTGTGGTAAAGGGATGCACTCAACAAGCTGGCATCGATTATACTGAAACATTTTCCCCAGTAGTTAAGATGACTACGGTGAGGACCTTGATCAGTTTGGCAGTAAAGAAGGGCTGGGATTTATATCAACTAGATATGAACAACGTATTTTTACATGGTGATCTAAATGAAGAAGTTTATATGGAACTCCCACAAGGACTCCAAGATGGTGAAAAGGGACTTGTTTGCAAGCTAAATAAGTCCTTATATGGCTTGAAACAAGCTAGCAGGCAATGGTATGAGAAACTGGCAGAAGAATTGTACTCAAGAGGATACTCACACTCCACCAGTGACTATTCTTTGTTTTACAAAAGGGACAAATCATCCGCAGTCTTCGTAGCAGTGTATGTTGATGATATAATTTTGACAGGAACTAATATGGCTGAAATTTCATCCCTGAAGTCGTTCCTACATGATCAGTTCAAAATCAAGGATTTAAGGAGGCTCCATTATTTTTTAGGTTTAGAGATTCTTTACAAACAAGATGGTGTACTTATTACACAAAGAAAGTTTACTACAGATTTGATCAAGGAGTTTGATTGTCATCATCATAGTCCAACTTCCTCTCCCCTTGATGTTGTTGTCAAACTAAAGTCACATGAAGGCACTGTGCTGCAAGACCCAACATATTATAGGAAATTGGTAGGAAAATTAATTTTTCTTACAAATACTAGACTAGACATTGCATTTAGTGTGCAACATCTTAGTCAGTTCCTACAAACACCAAGAGAGCCTCACCTAAAAGTTACCCTTCATGTGTTGAGGTACTTGAGGAATGATCCTACACTAGGGATTTATCTATCTAAAGAGCCGAACTATACTATCACTGCCTATTGCGACTCGGATTGGGCTGCATGCCCTGACTCCAAAAAGTCAGTAAGTGGCATAGAGGTTGATTGTCACTTCGTTTGAGATAAGCTTCAAGAGGGACTTGTGACTCTTCACCACATTCCAACTGTAGAGCAATTAGCTGACATATTAACCAAGAGTCTTACTGGCCCCAAGCACTCAGCCATTTTGCACAAGTTGTCTTCTACTAAGCTTATTTCCCCTCTTTTATTATTTTTCTGCATTTTCGGTTTGAGGGTCAATTATAGTTTCAGGATGAATCCAGAGTTGTATCCTTCTCTTCTTTCACCACCCTTTCTCATACCTGTTCTGTCTGGACTCAGTAGCTTATCATAATTTACCAGCATCTAAGTCTTGTTCCATGGAGGTGATTGCAAAGTATAAATTAATGAGGTTTATAAATACCTCAAAAAATGGGGGGGGGGGGGGGTTGTTGAGATTAATTAGGCCCTAACTAATTATATGTAATTGACGTATGTAGATTAGTTAAAGTGACGGTTGTAGAAAGTTTGTTACAATTAGTTAGATGATTAGCTGTCACATGATGTAGATATTTTCCATCTTTTCATACACGTGTATAAATAAAGGAAGAAGGAGGAATGGAAGTTCAGTTTTTCTTTTCCCAAATTGTGATCTCGTCCAGCTTCTTCATGCTTCTGTATCATCCTCAATTGTTAGCATAAGCTCCATTAATGGAGTTTTCAACTGCTCAATTACAACTTTGACACCATTAAAAACAAATGTGAATACTTTCAAAAAAAAATTAATTGCAAGGGTAATATAGAAAAAATAATTAATTAATGATTTTTTGATTTAGTAAGTTGATCAATTAATATAGGACAACTATATTAATATGATGATCAACTAATGTATAACGGATGAGTATTATTTTTTCTTAAGATGATCTCATTGTGATTAACAATATTTCCAAATGAAACTCGTCCTCGAAATTGGGAGTATCAAAAATATTTTTAAAAATAAGTATCTAACGGGTGCATTTCACGTTAAAAGAAAAAAGAGAGAAAAGTAATTTTAAAAATATATTTTGACTATTAAATGTCATAGAAATTCTTTGACCAACTTCATGTCAAATATTTTGATGAAAATATCTTTGATGTATTTGTTCCTATTGATTATACTCTCTTTATTATATGGTGTACAATTAATATATAATAAATTATGATATTAACAATATAAAAATTATTAATACCAGTGTGAAGAAAAGTTTCCAGAAGAAATGAAATCTCTTATTCTTAATTGAAATTTTTTGATACGGGACTTTTTCTCCTCTAAGTGAGTCCTAATAGGTATGCAAATCTGAATTAATTAAATTATGAGATTTGTACACCCATACTTATTCAAATTGTATTATTCAATCTGAATCCAAATCTTTGAATAATATAATTCTAATTTAATTAATAAATTCATTTATAAAAATAATAAGTTTTTTTATTTAAAGATGATTAGGTATACTTATAAAATGAATCCATCTTCAAAAATTGAATTGTATATACACTACTAAAAAAATACTAGTAATCTGCGTTTAAAACTCTATAATCAAAAGTCCAAGACCCACATCTCAATTTTGATATTTCCTCTCCTTTGATATTTTACTAGTTGGGTTAGATATTTTTTAAAAATAAATTATTATTCAATATCCGATATACGCAAGCCTACACGTGGATGTGAAACCACGATGACTAAAATTAAATCGAACCGATTTCCTAGGTTTTGATTCCCCTCTGTTTGTGATGGATATATTTTCTAAAAAATAAGAAGAGTAAATTTACAATATCTTTCCGAGAAACCTCTTTATCCAATTATACCATTTTTTTGGTCAAAAAATTTCATCCACAATATTTAAAAAAAAAAAAAAGATTCCAAAATATTGGTCAAACGCTATGGGAAAGCTACACTATGATCTTTAATTAATATATTCATTCGATTCATTTTAACTTGTCATATTTAGACTTAACATATTCATTAAAAAAATCATTTGTTAATTAATATTTAATATTAAATTTTGAAAAATGATTTAGATAATAAAAAAAAATTTGTACACATGACATTAAGTCTGGAGTTGGTTTTGACTTTTGATTGAACTGCAACATTATTTATGAAAGATATTTGAGATGTTGATTATTGTGTTATCATTAATATTACTTTAGCAAATATCTTTAAGATTTTTGTTTCTTGAAAAGTTGGCTTACCATAAGTGTCATCATGATTTGAATTTTAGATCGTGATAATAATATCATTTGATAATCCTCAATATATATTACAACAAAATCAACTTCTAGCGATAATAAAATCAACATAAAAAATATTTTTAGCGCAGTAATAATTCTTTAAATAGAGATATTGAGAATCATATTGTACATCTTTTATTTCTTATCTCTCTTTGTTATTCTTGCTTTCAATCTTTTAATATATCATATTACCTTTTTAGATTGATTTTACAACACATGTGAGGATTGAGAAAAGGAATAAACCATTAAATAGCAATCAAAGTCTTGTTTTTCTAGAGCCAAAATTATCTATTTTCATTAAAAGTGTATATCATAGTGACATTACTAATAATGTCTAGATTCATCATTCACATATTGTTCACAAATCAAGGTTAGTGACTATGTCCTACCACTACTTGGGCAAAGATAAAAAAACTCATCAATACATACTCCAATTACTACATCAAGTAGCCCTTTTTGCAGAATGGATCTTTTTCTTTTGGTGTCTTGTCAAAACATTAGTCTAGAAAAAGGACTCAACAATTCTGCATATATTATATGCAGATAAGGGCCAAAAATGTTTCTAACCTATTGAAAAAAAATTAAAAATATCTTCCTTCCATTTTTTGGTCTAAAGTTAATTTTTATTTTATTTTTTGTTCAAAGATACCCTTCCTTCTGTATTTTGGACTAAAAATACCCTCAACCCATATTTAAATGAATTGATTTTTCTTACTAATGAATTAATTCTTTTATTTACTCTAAAAGGCAAGTTCATTCCAAAATATTTATAATTTAAGTCTAACAATATTTAAAATAAAAATAAAATATTTACGTTAACAAACTTTTTAGAAAATGTTTTATCCTCCCCTATTTCAGCATCATTATGATAATTATGTTTTTAATTTTTTTTAATGATAATTATATTCATTAACTCAATTCCTGCATAATTAACTAACTAAATTTTGTCCCTTTTTCACTCTCTATTATTAAAAATTTTGACAACATAAAAATTCTATTTTTATTTCAAATATAGTTAGATTTAAATAATTTCAATATTTTGGGATAATCTAATATTAAGAATTTGAATAAATAAAAAAAATATTTTTTTAGAACAAAAAAAAACTAATTAATAAAAGAACTCAATTTAATTAAATTTAGGTTGAAGGTATTTTAGACCAAAAGATGGAAGAAGAATATTTTTAGACTAAATGATAAAAAGAAAATATTTTAAAGCCTTTTTCGATTGATTAAGGATATTCTTGACTCTCTTCTTTTTCATTTATGCAAGTTTTTGTAGAAATTTTTTTTCTCTTCTTTGCAAGAGAAAGATCAAATAAAAATAAAAATTAAACTAGTATGGGACTGTAGGCCCAAGTTGTTTTAATAAAGCTTTATATATTTCCAAAAAAGTACTTTGGTGGAGGACAACGACAAACATGATAATATTCGGTTGAAGTCAGAAAAAAGAACGTACAATTATTAGACATCGAATTGTAAACAAATAAAAAAAATTAGTATTTGGGATCGTATTTGATCATAAATATCACCTAGAAAAAGAATTGAAATTTTGCAAGCAAAAGTCATAGTTTCACTTCAAATAACTAATTATATTATAAAAATATTGATTTTCAAATAATATTTTAGTTGAAGTTGAAATAATAAAATATTTTCTATGGAAAAGTTAGCTTACGTCTCCAATTGATCAACCACCTAGAGATAGAGATTGATCAATTGACTCTAATTTAAAAATTATTCAAGTCTTGATGAGTTGTTAAAATTTAACGTTTTATACAATCTAACAACAATTGTATTACGTATTTCCTTTTAAGGTGTACCGGTGACAAACCTTAAAAAAATCGTTCAATTTGAACCATAAAAAAAATAGTTTGAGTAAATTTTAGGTTTAGCAAACATAAAAATCATATTTGTATACTATAACTATAGTTTGTATAATTGCTCTCCTATGTTTGTTATGGCTATTAATTTGTATATTTCGGTATACATATACATAAAAA